GGCGACTTCTTGTTGTTTTTCTTTTCTATTATACCTAGTTTTCCTTGATGAAACTCTTCCTTGAAATACTTAAGAAATCAGAGAGGCTGAAGAGATGGCACATTACTAAAGAGCATGTACTCCTCTTACAGAGGACCAGAGGTCACTTCCCAGCACCTACATCAGGTGACTCACAACTACCTGTAACTCCAACTCTAGGGGATCTAAAGCCCTCTTCTGGCTTTTGAGGGCACCTGCACATAATGTGCCATGCACACATGAATAAAAATTTAAAAGTAGATCTTTAAAAAAAAGTGCTAACACTAACAGCCTTTTGAAAAAGTCATATGGAAACCCGCTACTATAGAAACTTCCTAAAATATATACATAAGCAATATAAAGAGTTTAAATAGAATTAGGCTATGATGGGTTCACTGGCCCTACCAGACACTACAGGCTAGCAAATAAAAAGCCCAGTGACAGGAATGGACTCCCTTTTTTTGAGATACTGACCAGAGAGATCCCCATAGACCCTCAAATATAACTGACTATTGCCATTGCTTTTGGTTACTTGCCAGAACTTAATAGGCCACATTGATGAAGTCACTATAAATGTGAATCTTAGAACAAACAAGGAGCAATCAGACTGATACTGACCTTGAAGCTTCATCGCTACTGCCTAGCTATTGTAGAACTAGAAGATGCTATGCATACTACTGGAAGAGGAAGAGAATCATCAACCTTACCCAACTGTGAACTCTGTGAGCTACAATAATGACTATCCCATTGGTGCATGCCCATTGGTGCAATAATGACATGAATGTTACTGAAGTAACCAACCATCTTCTGGTTGGATTTAACACCCACTTCACAAGATGGAGCCCATGCCTGACACTGATATCAGGGCCAAGAACCTGTGACTAGATATGTCACAGGCCACAGGGAGAACATGCTACTATTATTCTGCTAAAGAGACATAGTATTAAATTGACTACTACTGACTTGTTGTTAGACCCATAGATTAGTGCATCTCTCAACTCTCACCAGAGAAATTCTTCTTGTAGCAAATGGCAATTAACACAAAGTTCCACAGCTTTGACTCTACAGGAAGAAATACATGGAATTTTAATTCTTCCCACTTATTTAACCTCTCTAGCCACATATTTGCATCTATAAAATGGATATAATAATATCTAACTTAAAGCAGTATGTAAAGAGACAATGTAAAAAAATATATGTAGAACATTTTAAATAGTCTTGGTAAGTAAAATTCAGTCAGTGAATTGTAATCAACAAAAACAAAAATAAATAAGATAAAGCTTCAGACTGAGCCATTGCTATAAGAAATTATAAGATGGAAGTCAATCTTAAATTCCACTGAGAATGACAGAACTTTCTGCCAAGTTTATTCATGCTATCATTTGTTAAGATCAGCAATTTGATGCAATTGTACTTCTCCAAAGACTAGTTCAAAAGCAAGGCAGTAAATTAGGCAGAAGAGGGTCAAGATGCATCCCAACTTAAACTTATACCTGCTTGAGGACAGGGAACATATCTTATTCATCTTTTTAAAATAACATACCTTATTTTATGTATACCAACACAACTTACATATTAAATAGCACCATTATAGAATGATTCATCTTTGTAAAATGAAGTAAGAAGGTGGAGTCCAGAAACTGACTGCCCAGCTATATGGGGTCCGTCACTCTCCACACGTACCACTGGATTTCCAGGTTGACTCTTTCTGTTTGTCCCATTTTCCTTCTGTCTTGGCTTAGATGTCCACTTTTGTCTGGTGTCACATGCATAGCAATACATGGCTAAATTCTTCATGCAGTATCCCTAGTTTCTATTATTTAAAACCCATCTCGAAGGATAGCTCAGATAAACCTTTGCCCCGAATAAATGCTATCCTTACTTAATATACTGCTATTCTTGATGACAAGTTTCCACAATTGTTTGTCTTGGGTTTCCTGGCACCTCTTATCTGAGCGATTCATTTTGGGGACATCGGGGACACTACTTTGGAGTGACTTTAACCATCCACATGTACTGCATCCTCTAACAAATCTAGGCTGCTGTAGATCTCTCTCCAGCATCATGGCCCTATGCAGGGTCTTCTGAGTACTACCCAGGTCATGACAGTTATCCCAGGAAAAGTCCACTTTCACGCACTCAAATGATGTCAACCCCACAGATGTATTCATTTTCTTTGCTCTTGAAACAAACATACAGAACATAGAAATTCTAGCTTCTGAGACACAGAGTCAGGAACAGGAAACAAAAAGAGCCATTCATACAATATTTTCAAGTTTCCTTTACAATGTTTAGAGAACAAGATACCAAAGACAGTGGTGTCTCACCAGAAAAATGGATAAGGTCCTTGTTCAAGGATAGTCCAGTGGTTCTCATGCTTGCACATCAGCATCACATAGAGGACTTGTTGAAACACAGATGAGTGGTCAGATGTGGCAGCACAAACTTCAAATCCAAGCCTTCAAAAGGCTGAGGAATAAGGATTATGAATTGCAAGTTCCAGGACAATCTAGGCTACACAGCAATATCTTGTCTCAAACAAACAAAAAATGCCTAGTAAATCTATCTGGTGTCACTCTCTTAAAGGAAACTAACTCTCCCTCACCCAGCAGTGGGACATTTGGAGACATAAACTTGACTTGATATGTCTTAACATATATGAGAAAATACCTGGAATTTGGTTGGGGGCAGTCTGTGAGGGGGTACAGATGTGTGAGAGGGTACAATGATTAAGATGTGTGAAATCCACAAAAAACATCAATAAAAAATGGAAAAAACTTGACAAGGATGGAGAAAAGGGTGAATCTCTTATATTGCAAGTGAGTAAATTATGTAACTACTTTGGAGACCAGTTATTATTTATTAGAGTTGAAGACAGATTTCCTATTGTGGTAGAGACAGTGGTATGCTACCTAGATTCTCCTTCAAGGAAGTGCATTCTGTTCATATTTGAAAAGTAAAGTCAGCAGGCAGCCTTCAACTGTTAGCTTCCTGAGAGTTTGTCTCAGCTGCAGAGAACTGCTTGGGTCAAGGCCTTGTACATCCTAGGGTGAATAAGGGAAGCAGGGATGAGAAGGACCATTTCAGTCACACAGAGAACACACCAATGGGTTTTAGTTGTTCCAATGACTGACTCAAGCTTTGTCATACTTTTGAAATTTATTTTTATTTTTTATGATTTCTTTTTATTGAATTTTTGCAATTTTCATGCAATACAGTTTGATATATAGATTCCCTCCCCTATATGCCCCTCCCCCCTGCTGCCCTCCCACCCAATTTAATGTATTCTCCTGTATCTATATAGAATATGGTCTATAGAATCTGGTTTCTGTCCCCAAATGTCCTTCAGTGTGGGTTCATCCACTGGGCCCAACAAGCATCCCATCCCTATGACACTGTCTCTCCCCCTCTCAGCAGCCATTGATTAACAAAAGTTCTTTAGGTAAAATTGGATTTCTTACCCATTTCCCCATTTCTGTGCTGGGATTTTGTCTGATCTGAGCTTGCATAGGATTTGCGCATGCTATCACCATTGTTGTGAGTTCATATGAGTAACTGACGAGCATTCTGTTTCCTTGTGGTCATCCACCCCCTCTGGCTCTTATAATCTTTCTACTTCCTCTTCTACAATGATCCCTGAGCCTTAAGAGGAAGAAGCTGGAAATAGGTGTCCTATTCAGGCCTCTTGTTCTCTGCACATTGGTCAATTGCGGGTTTCTGTATTAATCACCATCTACTGTGTAAGGAAACTTCTCCGATGAAAGTTGAGAGATGTATTCATTCTATGTGTAAAGGTTGCATTGAAAATGTGTGTCACTTAGGGTTAAGCACCTCACAGACACTTATTCTCTACATTTAATCATTTCTGTAACTTTACAACAGTCACCACCTGTTGCAAAAAGAAGCTACTTTGATGAGGTGTGAAAGGTACACTTGTTTGTAAATATGAGGATGCATATTTAGAATAAAGTAAGAAATTACTTTAGTCTAGGAATGTGACAAAAGTAGGTTTTCCTCTAGGATCTAGGACTCCTCTAGCCATGTGTATTTGGCTATGTTTACATCCCATTGTGTGGGTCT